TACATAGCTCTCTTTTTCTCCCCCAAGGATCCCAAAAGCCCATAATCAAAGAATACTTACCTATGGTTCCGCTGGTAAAATAATTTTGACAAAGTCTTTCCTTCTGCCTGTACTATTAAATTTTCTTATCGGCAAGGGTAAGGAAACGCATAATCTCCCACTGAGTTCTGGGAAGATATAAACTGGAAAGGAACAGAGGATCAGAACTCAGAGTTGCTTGTAAAATTGGACGAGTGACCTTAAAGACAGGATGTAAATCAGCAGTTTATACCTGGAAGCAGAGAGCAGAACTCAGTAAAGAAAGGGCAGGCAGGGAGCAACAGGTCTGGCAACAATCCTGCAGGCAAGAATCTGGAACTGTAGTGGATCACAAGTGAGTGTTGTTCAAAAATACTCTTCCACTGTGAAAAAGGAAGGTGTTACATACAAATATAAAAACAGGAATACGATCTGTAAGGTGATGTGAAATAGAACTCAGCAGAATAGGATGTCTGTGCAAAAAGTATAGTTGGTTTCTTTAAAAACTTTCTAGGTACACAGAGGTTTCAACAGAATGCTTGTTTAGAGCATTTGCTTGGGCCTTGCAGACACAAAGTCTAAGACACTGAGTTTGGATAAAACTATACATTTTTATATATCTGAAAGATACATATGATTTCAAAATAAAACAGGACTAAATTAAGTCCCAGACACCACATTTTGGTTTTCATACCAATCAGATCCAGCAACAACAGAAAACATGGCTGCTTTCTTTTTTTCCCAGTTTTCACCAAGGTTATGTTGAAATAACTGTACAGTAGTTAGGCTTACCCAGGAGAGTAAAATAACATCTCTTTTACCCTAGGAGTTCACTATGTAAACGAATACAGCCTTTTATAAAGAAGTGCTTCTCTGGATGTTGCAATATTAATTACTCCTGGGAATAAAAAAAGTAAGCAACATAATGGGAAGCACAGAGGAATGGCATAAAACCATAAAAAAATCAAGTGTAAAAAATGACACTGTAAATTCATTGGCATCTTGCTCCTTCAGCGTTTTCTGAAAAAAAAAAAAAAATAGTGCAGGAAAGCAATCAGAACGACAAACAGAAGTGGAACATTCTTAATCCATTATTTTGTCACTGCTAGATGCAAAACATCTGGAAGATCCTAGAAAACTCTTTCTCTTCCAAACTCCAATGACTCCAAGGGAAAAAATCTGAAGGATTTTGAAAGAGCAATTAATTGTTCTAATTCCCCCATCAGTGGTGATTGCATGTGTCTCAATATTTAAGGTAAGTTGGGAGCAGTGTTGCTGTCTGAAGCAGAAACTACTAGAAATGGAGGACAGAATGGGAATTAATCAGAAGAGGGGGGAAGCAAAAAGAGCAAAATGGAGAGAGACCTTGTTTGTGAGAGATGTGGACCTGAGGAAAGGAAGAGTGGAAGAGTGACAAAAGAAACATTTGGGCAAGAAAATGAGATAGCGGAGAAAAGGAAGAAAAATGGGAAATGAATCAAATGAAAACTCAAAAGAAGAAATAACGAGAGAAAAATTATTGTTCCCACTGACCAGTTTCAGATAGAGTGTAGTGTATTTCGAACTGAAGGATGCATCTGAAGTGAAGCTGGTGACTCTGGTTTTAAAGATGGAAAAGGAACTAAGGCTACATCTTTTCCCTTTGATAATGTAATTCTTCAGCTCAATCCCAAGACCTTGTTGCCAGTCATTCACATCTGAGGACTTTCATCCACTTGTGTGCTCTCCTTTGGAGCTAACTGATAGCTGCCCCCTAGGAAGAAGCCAGGGCATGGCCTTGGAGGCTGTTGCCTGTGACCAGCATGGATAGGCTGCACCACCATCCTTCCCTGCCAGTCCTCCAAAACAGGGAGAGCTCACCATACAGAATCCCTCACCACCAAGCATGCAGCACAGTCCCACAGCACAGTGCCACCGGAATACCATTTGAAAGGGCTACTATGTTTATTTCAAGCATTTTGAACTAAACAAACACAAAGAATAGTTATTACGATTTAAGTGGCCGCTGTATGCTGCCACACAGAAGACCCGGGCAAGCACACCATGGTGTGGATGCCCCCAGAGAGCAAATGAGGGTGCAGCAATGTGGCTACAACTTGTTCTGTGGCTGGCAGCCACAGGTCAGTCCTCTACACTGCTGCCTTCTGTCAGTTAGAACTATGGTGCCATGGGAAGAAGAAAAATCAGGTGGCAACCTCCTAACTCCTGAAGTAAGGTGAGGATTGCTTTCACCTGGGGTGAGCTGGGGTGAGTCCTGAATGCTGGATGTTTCCCTCTATTTTTAATCCAGTGGCAGACATCTGTAACAGCAGCTGCAATCTGAAAAACAGCATTTTAGGATTACACCCAGAACAATAGGAAACAATGGGCTTTGGCCAACTGCCACACAACACACCCTTGATGTGGTAATACTAAAGTCACCCATGGCAAGGTGCTCCATTATGAAATATTACATAAACATCTTCCATTAAATTATTTTCTATAGTCATTCTCTGCTTCTGATTTGATTATGTTTTCATTACTTACCTCATGCATGAATTACTTTCTGAGTTAATTTTCTGTGGGGAAACTCAATCATTTCAGGATGTTGTAAGAGGTTTTAATGGAGAAAACACGTGAATATTAATGCAATACCACGAAAAGTAAAAAAGATGCAGAGGCAATGTAGATCAATGCTTTACTGTATATCCAGGGAGGAAAAAATGGATCCTTTCCCAACAAAAGTAACTATTTCCTATGACTACTAGAAATGTAATAAACGATCATTCTACAAATGCGTAATTATAAAAGCTGCTTTGCTTTTCTCTTTCATGTGGAGAAGGAGCAGGTAATGACACTGAACTTGAAATAAGCTACACTGCATTCTTTTGTAGTAATAATGATTCTTCCTTTGATCAGGACCATGCCCAAAGTTAACAATTGTTCATAGAACTCTTGAGACCTTTACTTCAACCTTTACTTCAACAGGTTGCTTAGTGAACTGACACGTGGATTTACCACAAACTTTGTGTCTCACATACTTTGCTCTTTATTCTCTTGAGCTGGCAGAGAGAAGGAGAGAATCTTGCAGATAGCAGGAGTTATCCCATCCCAGGTGCCATGTGGCCTTGCTATAAACTTGAGCAGGCCAGCAGAACACTGAAAGCATTTGTGCTTCCTGAGTCACAACAATATAACTTGCGTGCGCATGAACACCATCAGTGCACATGAATCCATCAGTAGTCATTCCAGGACAGTGCAATACTGATTGATAAATCAGTAAAATTTATCTATAAAAGTGAAGGTTATAAACTTCCAGCCAGTGACTGTTATGCTGCTCAGAAATGGCCTGGGGCCTCTGGGGCTGTTGCTGTAGCTTGGCAGCCCTGGGGAAAGCCACACACAGACCTTTCAGATATTGCCTTCTCTAACTGCAGAGACACTCCTTGCTTGTAGAATATCTCCAGCAAGTTTGTGCTTGCCTTCCAAGTGGGGAAGTGCTGCAGACTAAAGATAGCTTAGGAAAAGGAGGGGAGATTTCAATTAGATACTAGAAAGAAGTTCTTTACTGTGAGGGTGGGGAGGCACTGGAATGGGTTGCCCAGAGAAGTTGCGGCTGCCCCATCCCTGGCAGTGTTCAAGGCCAGGTGGGATGCAGCTTTGGAAGCAACATCCCTGCCCATGGCAGGGGCTTGGAACTAGATGATTTTAATGTTCTTTCCAACCCAAACTGCTCAGAAACTGTGGTTCTCTAGGATTCTATGATTCCTCGTAGTATCTGTCTACAGAGATGGCTACCTACTTTGCACTACTGATAATACGAGGAAGAAATCACATTGGCCTCTAGTGTCCTGTGTAATAGAACAGGTGGGAAGCTAAGGAAGGAGGTGAATGGTGCAGTGGGGATCCAGATGAAGCTGTGTTTTGGAAATTAGTTGCCCACTTTCTGTCCAACTGGAGGGAGGCTGCAAATGTAGTTTGAGGAACACATTTTCAGTGCCACTTATGCCTTAAACATTTACCACTTGAGCTGCAAGTGCATTGAGCTCTGCGAAACCCTCAGGACTCACCAGACACAAGCACTTGTGATGCCAACAGGAGAACAGAGTTTACTTTCTGCTGTATTTTGATTTTGTTTTGTTGTGGTTTTTGTTTGTTTGTTTGATTGGTTTTTTGTTTGTTTTGGGGTTTTTTATTTTTGGTGTGGGGAAGGGAAAGTAGAGGTGCTACCTTTAAGCTGGATCTATTGTGTTCAGGTGCACTTGTGCAGGTGCTGGTGTCGGCACTGCTCAGGGAAGCAGAGCAGGGGCGGGAGCCCACAGTCAGGCATGGGGCCAGGACAGTAACATGAGCAATTAACCTTCTCTGGGCACTCCACTGCAACCCAATGAGGAACATCAGTGTGAGCCTTTTAAGCTGCTAGCAAGACAAAAAGGGAGGCTGGCTGGAGAGATCAGCACACCAGGTACGAGAGCACTCTTCAACATTTAGTTACATCTTGACTTTCTGGTATATTTCCCAGGGGATGGATATCTCTTAAATTAAAAGGAAGCCTTTCAACACTTCAGTTACTTTATGCATCTAAAAACCAGTCAGGGAATGCTCTCACAAGGACCAACTGATACCTATCGGAGCAGGAAATACCTGTGTCGCAGCTCCAAGCCATGGCGACCCGAGGCAGTAACTACAGCTGGGGAGGGTGCCACGGCTGGGGGAAGCAACGACATGCCCAGTTTTCGTGTCAAGCTGTCCAAGATCAGCATGAATCCAGGTAAGGTGTCTAGACTCCACGGTTTCTGAACAAATTAGGTCTTTTCCACAGTTAATGGCCGGTTCACACGCTCGCCAAAGCCGTCACCCAGGGCTCCCGGGCTGGGATAGATCATAGCCCGGCCCGGCCCGGCACCGGCCGAGGCGGCCCTACAGCACTCTCACGACCCCCCCTTCCCTTCCTCCGTCTCGGCATCCGATCTCCGCACATGCGCACCGCGGCAGAGGCACGTAGGCGAGCGGGTCCCGGCAGTCCCTTCGGGAAGTGCTGGGCCGGGGGTGGGGCGGACGGCTGAAGGAGATCCGGGGACGGGGACAGCGTCAAGGTGGTGTTGGCTGTCCCCGCTCCATGCGTAAGATGTTGTTGGCCGTGCTCTCCCGGGTGCTGCAAAGCCCGGCGGCTGCTGCCGCCGCCGGAAAACCGGTGAGTTTGGTCATCACCTGCCCGGGCGGAACGAGGGGGGCAACGGGTGCTGGCACGCGCCCCTCTGCATAGGGGGTGGGCAAGGCCCGGGGGACGGGAGGCCGGTGCTGCCTCTGCCGTTAGTGGGGGTAGGTGTGGGTCGTGCTGGGGTACGACGAGGAAGGGGCATGGCCGGTAGGCCCGGCTGCCGCGGCGGGGCCGTGGGTCTGCCCTTGCAAAATAGCCCGGGTGTAACGGCGAAAATTCAGGCGGGTAAAAGAATTTTAAAAAATGCGTATAATTTGGTTTAGATTTGTGTTTTTTTGTTTTTTGTTTTTTGTTTTTTTTTTTTATTCTGTACTGTGTGTAAAATACCGCCTGAAAATAAAATGGTTGCTGCGTGCAGGACCTGGCTTGATCAGTGCATCCGATAAACGCGTGTGTGTAGGGCAGGGACCCGCACAGGGCCGTCGCTTCTTCCCGACGTGACAATTTGTGGCAGCCGTGGCCCTGGAGGCGCGGGTGGTGGTGTTACAGGAGGGCAGAGGACGGGCTACCCTGCCCAGGGCCTTCATCAGCACTCGCTGTAACCTTAGACCTAAACTAACGATAGTGTGTGTGCCTTTAGCATAATAGAATAAACCAGACTATTCTAACTTACTAATACGTAGCTAGAAAGGAACGTTGGGTTAATGGGGGAAGGAACATCATGGGACTGATAACAACTTAGGAAGACAGTAAGACCAAGGATGCTAGTCTTCAAGATAACAGAACGGGGCGCAGCGTGGAGCGAGACTGGAACAGAACTGAAGCAAGTACGTACCAGCTGCTAGGACCTTGCAAGCACTGAGGTCATTCAGTAAACACAGTGAGGAAGACGATGGACAGCCACCAAAGACACCCCCCTCAGCAGGAAAGCGCATGTGTAATTAGGATGCAAATATTATAATTAGTTCCCAGTAAAGCTATGAATATGCATGAGCATGCTAAATATATAGCCCTTGTCGGCAAGCATCGAGTGCAGTCACCTTTACGAAATGGTTCTCCTGTGAGCCCAGTACTGCAGTAAAGAATGCCTGCTTTCTAAAACTTCAAATTGAGTCTTAGAGAATTTCTCCGACTGACTTTTAGGGTAACTGTGCCCTGTGATCTCTTTGCTATTTATACTTTTGTATCTGTAAAACATGTTTTGATTTGTTTCTGAAACCCTTTTCCGACCTCTTGGCTTTGATTTATTTATATATATTTTGACTGTCAGAACAGGTCAGATCCTAAACAGGGAGTAAACATACTCTTCTTGTTCCATTTGAAATTCATCCATCTGACCTTTTGAGCTGCTTCACCTTTCTTTGCTCAAACAACATTCCCTTTTCATGTGTCCCCATTTTGGTTTTTTTTTCTATGTTTTAGTTGATTGGTTTCTTTTTTCATTAGTGAGTCATTTCCTGTGTTTTAACTCTTGTGTATGAAAAAGTCATACTTTTACCTCTTCATTCTCCTTATTCTATTATAATGACTATGGCCCTGAGGAAAAATTAACCCCGCTGAAAAAAAACAAGTTGTCAAGATCCAATCAGTGTGAAAGAGTACTATTTGGTAATTGGAAGTCAGCTCACTTTTTGCCACAGAGAGCAAGTCTGTCGCTGCATCTCTGTTCTGAAGTATCTCACTTACCTGAGCATTAAGTTCTTGTGGAAAAGCAGGTAGGTGACTGGATTTGTGAGAATCAAACATGAGAGCATATTTACCAGATCTTCCTGTGTCTATTGGGACTATGGATCTAAAAGTTTTTCTTTTTTTTTTTTATTCTTTCTCCAAATGCTGCTAACCTAGGGAGCCGTTAGTGAGGTAAGGCCTAAGTCAGTCTTAAAAAGGTTCAGTTTTGGTATGTGCACTGGCCATCTATTTAGAACTCTTGTACAGACTCCTCAGTGTTGCTTTTGTGTCGTATGCAGGGCAAGGGGGTTCTGGCTGACCTATCAGAGCTTCCTTCCAACCTCAGCCATTCTGTCATTCTGGGAATCCCAAACTCTTGATTTACTTCCAGCTCTAGAAGTAAAAGAGATTTTCCTCACTGATAATACTGACACTTTGGGGTAAACCGTGTAGAAACTTGGTATAAATTTAAAACTCTTAAGTGCTTAATCTGATAAAGAGGTGGTCGTGACTGCTAAATCAAATATGCAACAGAGTAAGTAACCTAGAGGGATTGAGAAATGTCTCTTGGCTTTTTTCCAAGCCTCATAGCTATCAGTCAGACCTTTTTTTGGAAACTGACCTGGACATTCTCAAAATTTCACAATAATCAACCTTCAGCTTAACGTGTGTGACTTGCATCATAAAAGAAGCTACTGAAAATTATGTGTAACTCCATGAGCAATACAGTTTTGCTGGTAAAGGTGTAGTGCATTCCTTATGCTGTGGACACAGCGCATGCACAGACAGATGAACATCCTGTGCAATGCTGCAGTGAAACATACTGAAGTAATTTAGAAATACCAGATATTCATAAGTCAATAACCTGTGTTCATTCTTTAGGACAGAACAGTAATAGATTTTTAAGCATCCTTTGTACCTCCCCACTACTGTGTCACCCTTTATGTTGCTCTGTATTTCATGTCTCCTCAGGTACGTCACCTTTTATGTTTCTGTATAATTTTTAAGTAGTGGCTATGCCGTTATCCACTGAAACAATATTCCCCTTCGTTGTCACTGCCTTGTGTCTCCCCAAATTCTATTCCTGTTAATAAGAAAGAGTAAGAGTAGCTCATACTCTAGAAATCTGTTGAGGGGTTGGGGGAGGGGTGGGAGTGATTTTCTTTTTCCAAATAATTTTTTATTTTGTTGAGACAAAATTCCAGTCAGCGCCGCGAGCTGTCAAAATCTGTGTTGGTTTTCTTTCCTCAGGTAAGCAATCTGGCATGTGAAGGGAAAAGTAATTATTTTTGTGCGTTTGATGATCTTCACAGTCTTTTGAAACTAACTTTTTATTTTAGATCTGGTGAGTTTAATTCCCAAGATATTTCAGTTTGGGAGTACTGTTAAGAAATTATTGGAGAATTTGCCTACTTTTGCTTGATAAATATGTTTAAATATTCATGTTTTGTTTTGGTTTTCTTTTGTTGGTTTTGTTTTTAAGGCCTCTCGAGTGATGGTAGCATCGCGTAACTATGCAGACTTTGCAAATGAAGCTACATTTGAAATTAAGGTAAAGAAGCTGAACGCTTAGTACGGGCATTGTGATTGTGTGTGTTGTAGATCCTAACAGGATGGACTTGGCCCCTTTTTCAATTAGAAAGCTACTGTTTGAATTTCCAGACCAAACCCCTTGCTGTCCAGCTTGATCTCTAAATGCAGTTGGAGGTGCCTTGCTTTGCTGTATGTAGTAACATTACTTGTTTCTTAAGAATGTGGTACTTTGCAGCTGTGATAGTTCAATGCAGCTGTGAGCGTGGAGTCACAAAGGTGCCTAAGAACCTTTTCTCTTCTAAGGGAAGAGTATTAATGTTTCTCTGCTTGTTTTCAAACAAATAGCTGGTGTTTGCTGCCTACCCTTCTTTCCATCTCCCTTTTATTTATGGAATTGTGGGTGTTGCATCCCAGATGTGCAGCTGATTGAGGTCTGTATGGATTTTTGAGGAAATATTGTGGCACCCTTTTAATGATTAACTTGGTGCTGTTCAAAAAGTATATTTGTTCTATTCTGTCAGCTTCTGCTATGGCTAGTTTGTAGAAAAAAAGTGATGATTCTATTGGCAGTAGTAGCTTTTCTGCTGGCTTCTCATTCAGGAAAAAAAAGAAAAATCTGGAAGAAATTATTTGATTTTCCTTCTATCAGTTTCTGTGCCTGTAAAGTACTGAAATTGTTGCACAGGTGGAAGGGAGGGAAAATAAGCTGATATGAAAAGTCTTTTCTGAGTAGATACAAGGTTTAGTGTTTGAACCTGTACAGACTCCTAAATTTCTTGAGTAGCGTTCTTGAGTGGTGTGCCCATGTGTTATATCCAGTTCTCCTAGGTGCCAGCAGATTTGCTCTGGTATGTAAGCTGTCTTAATCCAACATAGCAGTGTTTTGTCCCTTTAATCCCACAGATGAAGTAATTTTTTTGAATTGCTCCACTGAGCTTGACTGCTTTCTAATTCTTTTTAATTTCATTCTGTATGGGTGCCTAAAGTAAGCCCTCCCTCAGTACAGTCTGTTGTTTAGTAGTGAAGGTGTGCTGTACACGTGTTGGTTTGACTGGCAGGAGGACTGGTGCAACAGCGGTTTGTTACTGCTTGGTATAGGTGGTGTAGAAGAGGTGAAGTCCAGCCTTAGAGCCAGATCTTACAAACTGATTCACGAAGGAAACTATATCATGTCGTCACTAAGCCTCTGTAGCTCTTACCAAGTATTTAGCCTGCAAGAACCATGGAAACGTGCCTTTCCCAAGTTTTGTGAGGGCTGTATTTCATCTCCTGATAGTAGGAACTACGAGACTTCATTTTGTGAGTGGAAATCTGCCTTTAGTAGAAGTAAATTTTTATTTCCCTAAATTTGGAATTAGCATGCAAACCTTATGCTTATTTTGACCTACGAATTTAGGTTTTGCTGGCTTTGTTTTTTTTAAAGCATATTACACTGAATTTGAAAATAGGACATTATAAAAACTGTGTGATACTCATAAATAGGACAAATTACTTTCAAGAAATAATTACGTGTTCAACTTTGCAGAAATGTGACCTTCATCGCCTAGAAGAAGGCCCCAGTACCACCACAGTGATGACTCGAGAGGAGGGGCTCCAGTACTACAAGACAATGCAGTCCATCCGACGCATGGAGCTGAAGGCTGACCAGCTGTACAAGCAGAAGATTATTCGTGGCTTCTGCCACTTGTATGATGGCCAGGTAAGATTACTTCTTTTCCCCAGGTTTTTTTTTTATTATCTCATCTTATTTAAAGTAGGGATTTGACTAGAGTGGAGAGTAAATTAACATGTGCAGTGTTTGAAGTAGTAGTTGTATCCATGATGTAGTTCACTGTTTCTTTAAAAACAATGTTACGGCACACAAGAGAATGCCTGAAATCTTGCGATAGCGATAGGAAGAGAGAGAAGGCCAGGTGCATCTGAAGATCAGCTGAATGAGAGGAATGAGCAACTGCAGCATAGTAAATTCAGTGCATTTGGAGGCTCACATCCTTGTCCTCAAGCAGTGTCTCGTAGATCGTGTGGCCACTGTAAAACAACAGCCACGAGTAGGAATTTCATGAATAAAGTCAAACTGTGCTGTCTGCGTATTCCCACCTGAGATTTTTGAATTGCAGCTGTTTAGATGCTTCATTTGGGAGATGGGTGTAGAAAAAGTCTGCAGATTTTTACAGGCCTTGTTCCCCTCCTGTCTGCTTTTGTGAGTCACCATCAGGTTGGAATTCAGAGCTCAAGGCTGTTACAGCTCGAAGCCTGCCACCCGCTGGCATTTAAGGAGGTCTCCTGTATTAGTACTCTTCCTGTTTTGATGTATGGGGGGTCATAGCTAGCCCTTGCCACGCTGCTGGCTGTGGATGTTTGCTTTTCTTCACTGCTAAATTGACTTTTTCTGTGTAACAGGAGGCTTGCTGCGTAGGGATTGAAGCTGCCATAAAGCCTACAGACCATGTGATAACAGCTTACAGGGTTCATGGCTTTACCTATACACGAGGAGTGCCTATTCGAGAAATTCTCACTGAACTTACAGGTTTGTGCTGAGTAAAATGAGGAGGATTTGCATGCTGCTGTACTTGTGGCAGAATTTTTTAGTACAATCCAAAATGACGTTGATGCACAGTGTCTACTGAGGCATCAGAAGCTGTTTAATTTTGCAATGTTATGATGCAGCCACGTTTTACTATAAGACTTAAGTCATAAGGAATATTTAAGTGCTTGCACTTCGAAAGCACAAACTCAGAGAATTTCTCTTGATAGCGTATGTTGTATTTATTGTGTTGCAGCAGCTTGTTTAAATGGAGATTGCTTGTGGCAGTTCTCAGCAGGACAGGGCATTACCCCCCCTAGGAGAGAGACTAGGATTTTCAGAATTACGCTGCTGAAGATTTAGACTGGTAAACACTGCCTGTAATGATAAACTGAATGAGGTGGGAAAACTTGACTGTAACAATAATATTAAATGGTAATCTGCACGGATGTCAGATGTTGCAGAAAGGGTAGATAGTCTGTGCACAGCTGAGTTGCAGGTGGAGCAGGGAAGAGAGGATCAGCCTGCTGAACTCTTAAGAGATCTGTGAACAGATGCCAGAAGTGAAAAGAAACAAAGAGTTTGAGGGCCTTAAAGAGTTATTGGTACAATAAAGACGTGATCTGAGAATTTGCATGCTTGAAACATTAATATAGGAAAGCGTGTTTTGGAGGTAAGGAAGAGGTGTGCATACTAAGAATGGATGTGTTAGGAATGTATGTTAGTAACAGATTAAAATCAAACTTTTTTTTTTTCCTTTGGCCCTAGCTGGCAGGTTTCATAAAAGCTCACGTTAAACCAGTTCATAAAGGTATGAGAAAGGTTTGAGAAAGACAGATAATAAAAGTGATCCGCTATTAAGTAAGAAAGAGAAGAACAAATTCCAGAGAGAGAGATCCAGGAGTCAACTTCTAAAATAAACACCAAGGCTAAGGCAAAAAACCCAACCAACCAATCTGTGCTTATTAGGAATAAAATAGGAGCCTCTGCAGCTTGTAGCAAAGCAGATTAGAATAAGTGATGGAGTGAGCTGAAGAGAAATTCTGTGTTGCTAGATCAGTTCATATAAACAGTTTGCTGTAATGCTTCATGGAGCACTGCTTCTTTTCAAATTGCAGCTTGAATAATGCTGGCCTGGGTAACTTTTTGATGTTTATCCTGGGTTCATAAGAGGAGTTGTTGGCTATGTAGATTTTGTGGTGGTGTTATTTTGGATTTTGCTTTGGGTTTGGTTTTTTTTTTTTTTTGAATGTCCTATCTGTAATTTTTTACTTCTGGTTCTGTCACAGAGAAGACGTGTGTAGATTATTGCGACTAATTTGAATAGTGTTCACACCTTTGTTGCACAAGTGAAAAGCAGGAAGGACTGGATATACTTTTTTTACAGATTTACATTTATGAGAAGTAGGGACCATTTTGGCTATTAAACACCACCCCTCCACCACCACTCCCCCCGTTTATCAGAAAGTTCTTGTACATAGGTAGAGCACTGAAACTTCTTGGTTGCTTGTAAAATTTCTTCTTAATCTCATTCTGTATTTCCTGAATTAGGTTTCATTTACTGTTCTCTTTCACCCTCTTTTCTTACTTGTTTTGTGATGTATTTAAGTGTAAACACTTCGGGAAATGGCTGTTGTTTCTTGACTCCACATAGATGTAATGACAACAGCTTGGTCTTACTGTTAGTACCTTTAGGCACTGAATTAGATGTTCCCATTTGCATAGGATTTTTCCTTTGGAAAAGTACTTTGCTTGTTATTCATGTTACAGGGCGAAAAGGAGGATGTGCAAAGGGAAAAGGAGGATCAATGCACATGTATACCAAAAACTTCTATGGTGGAAATGGAATTGTTGGTGCTCAGGTATATACATGACTTCTGCTTCAAAGCACAAGTTGAATGTGGCTCCTGTCCTCTGTCAGTGTTTCAGTGCTTGTGGTGTGAGCTTGTATGCAGCCACCATTATTCTGAGGCTATTTATGATGTCTTTATTCTGTTTTGCTCACTTTTTAGTAATCTAGAGCAAAGATGTATCACACTGAGATATATGTAAGCGATGTGTGAATTTTAGCTGTAATAGAGATCGGCACAAATGGAAGTGAGTTGGTATTTACCTACTGACTACGTGTATGTTGAGCAGATCTCTGATAGTGTAAATGTCTCTTCACAATTCACAAGCTGCCTACCTCCAACTCCTTTAAACATTGCTGTAAAATGGTGTTTTTTCATGTACTCTCTGATAGGTTCCTCTTGGAGCTGGGATTGCGCTGGCCTGTAAATACTTTGGTAAAAACGAAATCTGCATGGCCTTATATGGGGATGGTGCAGCCAATCAGGTAAATCAGCTTTGTCTGGTGTGGTGTGGTGAGGAGGAGAGTGGCTGTTGGTGATCTGTTTTTGTTCTGTGAGCTGTGAGCTCTGCCTTTCCACCAAGTAGTGGGGAGCACCTCCCGTCCTCCCTGGGTAATGCTGTCACACAGGCAGTATCTGACTTGGGGCTTCTGCTCTGATTGCTTGCTGGGCTTTCTGCTGAGAGGATACTTTACTAAAAAAGAGACAACTAATGCAGAAAAAGCAATCCTAGAGAGAGAAGGGTATGCACACCCTCAGTACTATAGCTCACTGCAGTTTTTCTTAGGGCTTTTGTTGTGAAGTGTTGTGCACTGAGACAAACTTCATGTAGGTGATGAGGCACCTTGCAGATTTGATGCTTGAATGCTGAGCTCCCTGTCTAGATGCAACTTGTTCTTTCAGGGCCAGATATTTGAAACATTCAACATGGCTGCCTTGTGGAAGTTGCCTTGTATTTTTGTCTGTGAGAATAACCGCTATGGAATGGGAACTTCAGTTGAAAGAGCGGCAGCCAGTACCGACTACTATAGAAGAGGAGACTTCATTCCAGGTCTCAGGGTGAGTACAGACACTGTTGCTGTTTTTTTTGTGGGGGAGAATGGGCATGCACATATGTATGTGTTATTTATACGTAAATTTATAAATATTTTTTTAAATATAGGAAAATTTGCAACTGAATTCATGTTGTTCTTGTGGAAGTGCTGAAATTGGAAGTTTGGGGTTTGGCATTTTTTTGCCTCAGTGTGTTGTTTCTGTTTTCAGGTGGATGGCATGGATGTTCTCTGTGTTCGAGAAGCAACGAAGTTTGCTGCTGAACACTGCAGATCTGGCAAAGTAAGTTAGTAGTCGTCATTCCTTTTCCATAGGTGAAATTCTTAGCCATGTTACTGTTGCATTAAAAAGTTCTTCATTGGGTGGCATGCAAGTGGTATCAAACATTTAAAATAGATCTATCTATCCTGATACTCTGGCATCTTTTTCCCCAGTTCTACTCCAGTTAAATTTTATTGGGAAAGGTGTCCTGGCTGTCAGGCAGTTGTTGTCTTTGAAGAGATGAATTAGGGGAAGCATGAAGGAACATACTGATCATTCTGTATTTACGCAGATGTAAATCAGCTTTAGCATGTGAATCAGCATTAGTGTCTGTCACCCAAGTACGATACGCTGTGTCTGTAATTTTTTAATATTTGGTGAAATAATGTTTGCCCCAGCAATGTACAACAGAAAAAGAAAAAGGTTTGTGCAGAAGAATAGGGTTCTGTGAGTTCAAACCTCGCAGTGAAACATTCGGCATTTGGAAATAGTCTGACTAATGGTGGAAGGACCCTGGGAGGGAAGAAGTTATTTAATGCAGCTCAGTAAGAATGTTAGAATGAAAGTTCACAATATCAACCTATGCTTTTATTTGAAAAGAGTGAAGCTGTATTTTACTAGTTGTGGTAGTAGTGTGAAAACTAAGTGGAGAAAAACACTGAGTTACAATCATGGTACATTTCACCTGTAGCAAATACTTGCTGCTATAGCCATATATTGGTCCCTTAAGGTGGTAACATGCTCTGTCCTAGTTTGTTTTTTTTTTTTACTTTTTAAGGGTCCTATTGTGATGGAGTTACAGACCTACCGTTACCATGGCCATAGCATGAGTGACCCTGGAATAAGGTACTGGGATGTTCTTCCTTGGCATTCACTGAAACAACCAAGTAGTGATGGTCAAAATCCTGAAACTCTTAGATTCCGTCTTTAAATGTGTTACAAAACTCATATAAAGGTTATGGTGAAGCTGCTATAGATGACTATGAGCACAAAGTCGAACTTTTGTGCTTTTTATTAATGAATTCTGCTTTCAGCGTGAAGTTATAGTGTGTTCTAATTGAGCTTTGACTGAAAAGCATCATGTTTTTCCAAGGTTTTTAGAGTATGTATAGCCCAATATGCTAAGACTGCAGGAACAGTTTGGATTGTCCAGTCAAGTAAAGTAAAGTAGAACACTTCTTCAAAACACAAACAGGCAGGTGTCAAGAATGCTCGGGCATTGTACCAACTGATATACCTGAATGAAGCAGGAGGTGTAGCCCAGTGCTTTGGAAACTTGTTGTGAATTGGAAGCATGCAGCAAGTCATCTAGCTTCATCATCTAGCATCATCACCCGAAGGGTGATGGGAAGGAGGATATGCAGCTCCTTGTGGGAACTGCCTCAGGCTGGGATTGCTCCCTTTCCCCTGCCTACGTTATATTCATTTTTGGAGCTACGGTAGCTCGGTTGCCACTTACAGATGTAAGGAATGTTCTAGATGTAGCTGTGCCACCCTCTGAGTGATGAGCTTCACTGTATTTTCATTGCATTCCTGACAATTCTTTGTTCACACCTTTCTAAGAGTGAGCTGCATCCAGAACCTTGCCTCTGGTCAAGGACACTTCTGGAGCAGTTCATGTCTCTGTTTCTCTTGGTCCTAGCTATCGCACTAGGGAAGAAATTCAAGAAGTGAGAAGCAAAAGTGATCCCATTACTTTGCTGAAGGACAGAATGGTCAACAATAACCTGGCTAGCATTGAAGAATTAAAGGTATGGCTTTTAGTTGCCATATGAGCAAGGTCTGGAGGATTTGCATGCTAATGAGCTGTGAAAAGCACATGTGGGTGCTGAGGAAGGCTGTATGCATGGGAGATCATCTTTCAATTACAGCTCTTATGTAAGATGTAGAAGTCAAAATTACTGTGGCATTCTCAACTACCTAGGAAGGGCGTAAAAGTCTGAAAGAGAAATTTTCAACAGTGAAAAATCCTCATGAAGGAGTCAGGAGTCCTTTAAGTATATGTTATAAATACCTTCATCAGCTGTGCTTAATAAAACCCCCCAAATTGACACTGACCCTCTCAGTGGTTCGCAGAATCTGAACAGAAACTGTAGAAGATCAGTGGGGTCATATTCCTCTGGCAGTAAGGTATAGGTACTGTCCAAAAGGCACAAAAAGCTGCAGTTTAGCAGGGATGGATTTCTCACAGGTTTTTCATCTATGTTTGTAAACAGCATTAACACTTCTGACCAACACTTCATCATTGTGTTTAAATTCAGAATTAAGATGTTTTTTCTGAAATGCCTTCTAATCGGCATCCATTCTTGGTTTAGGATATTGATGTGGCAGTAAGGAAGGAGATTGAGGAAGCAGCTCAGTTCGCTACCACTGACCCAGAGCCACCACTGGAAGAACTCTGTCACCACATCTACTTCAATGAGCCACCCTTTGAAGTGCGGGGCCCAAACCAGTGGATAAGCTACAAGTCTACCAGCTAAAGGACTTTATACTGTCATAATTTATTCATAAGAATAAGTGAATATATTTACAGGAACTTAAATCGTGGAATACTTAGGGTTGGAAATGGCCTCTAGATCATCTACTTCCAACCCCTCTGCGATGGACACCACACATTAACCATGTCACCCAAGGCTCTGTCCAACCTGGCCTTGAACACTGCCAGGTGTGGAACATTCACAGCTTCCTTGGGAAACTCGGACATGACTCAGAAACAACCCGTAAGGTTATTTAAAAGTTCTTTCAAATGAGGAAGTGTGTGGGGAAAGCCATCTCAGTTTGGATTTGGGTAAACATGCTGAAAGTTGTTTCAGAAGGAGTTAAAGCAGCAGCTTACTGAAATTGCTTTGTATTTGCTTTATCGACTTGTCTTTGGATTGTTATGTACAGTTAAAAAAAAAATAAGCTTCAACACCACTTACCTAGTAGTGTGTTTGCTTTGTTTCTTAATGAACCATTTTCTTCCCAAAACCACCAGAAATGCCCTTTAGATGCTGTGGGTTTGCTGCAGGTACGTTACTAAAGGAAGACATTGCACCAGGCTTTTCTTAGGAGTTCTGTGAAGGCAGCTTTAATACAAAAGTTTTATACAGGCATGTGGGAAAAGGTGCCACAAGCTCTGGCACATCCCCTCCCTGCTCCAGCCTCCAGAGCTGTAACATGTTAATGTTCAGAGTTTTCACAATGCTAAAGCCAATTCAGGTGTGTGGTACCCAGTTTGCAGAAAAGATGGGGTTTTTTTCCTCACCTAATGCTTTAGGTTACAGTGATAAGCATCTGACTTCTGCATTACTCTGTCAGAAATAATTTAAGTGCATTGACACCGACATAAAAGCTGTACTAGTCACTGTGTTACACTCAAGGTCAAACAAGCTACATCGCCGTGCAAAACCTGCAAGGCCACTGTACAGACATGTATATATACATCTAATAATTGAAGTGTAGTGAATGCAGTTCTCATTTGTTTATTCCCATGTCATGTTCTCCTTCCAAAGCATGAACCACCTGCGCAGAGGTCTTGCCAGATGTTTGTCGGTGGTTTAATATTGCATTCCAAATCCTGCAGAGAAGACCACCCCTGTATGAAGGAGAATAGAGAAGCATTATGGAGAACTTCCTCATCTTCTTTAACGTTAGCAAGAAGCAAAACCTAGAAATCCCAAGTCTGTACTGGTTATGACACTACATAGGAAACACTACACGCTTCCCTGAGGTGGCAGCTCAATCTCTTCCACATCAGCCATTCAGACTGGTGTTGAAAGGACTTGAGTCAAGGAGCAGGCACAGCAAGTGCTGGATGCCTGCTATCCTTGTGATTACATCATCCCAAAGGGTGCAGAAATAACTCCCAACTTTGACAAATACCAAAACTTGGATAGCTTTAAGCACCGGAGATGCAGGTGTTTCACTGCATCGGTTAAGACATGAAAAACTTCAACAACAAACCAGCGATGAAACTCGCAGCAGTTGCCACTGACTGGTCACTGATTATTTCAATAACTGAATGTCTGAAAAAGGTTTTTACAATCTACTTCAATTAATCTCACCAGGGAACTAAGAAATACTTCTTACCGCAGCTGAAGGTAGCGCAGGTCATCCTTAGTGATATCGTTAAGGACAGCACTTAGTGTATAATCTTCTTCAGCAAACTAAAAGGCAAATTTATTCCTAAATTAACATTCCCTTGTTGAAGTAAACTGCTAATACTGACTACAGTGCCTTTTTTTAAAGGTGGGGGGTTTGTTTTTTTTTTTGTTGGTTTATTTTTTTACCCTTTTAATAGCATGCGAGTCTGCTCCTTGTTGTTTCAGCCAGTTCATGAGCTCAGGGTCTGCATTCGTTCTAAAAGGTGTGGCAGACCAGTTGGAGTCTTTAACAGAAAACAAATGTAAAGGTTAATGCACCTCAAAACCAGGGCTAAAGTGGTCAGTTTCAGACTACTGAAGCTTAAAACAAAGCGTTCTTTATCATAGACTGGTTTGGGTTGGAAGGGCCCTTAAAAATCATCCATTTCCAGCTTCCTGCTACGGGCAAGCACACCTTCCACTAGATCAGGTTGTTCATGCCCTGCCCAGCCTGGCCTTGAACGCTGCCAGGTGTGGAGCATATTCTTTGAGCAACCTGTTCCAGTGTCTCACCGCGCTCATAGCATGTAATGTAAATCTTCCCGCTTTCAGTTTAAAGCCATTCTCTCTTGCTCTATCACTACATGCCCCTGTTAAAAAGTCCCTCTCCAGCTTTCCTCATAGGCCTCCTTTAGATACTGGAAGGCTGCTCTAAGGCCTCCCAGAGCTGCCTTTAGGCTGAACAACCCCAACACCCTATCCTTTAAAAAAATATATTAGTGTGCACCTGTCAAAGTGTGCAGTATCTCCTCATAACCTTCAGGTTTAAGTTTTAATCGAAGCAAGTGTAATTCCTGAGTTTTTTGCTCCAGAGATTGTCGTAAGAGGGTCTGATACTCTTTCTCCTTCTGAACAAGGTTTTCCAAAAGGCTGTTAGCATACAAGAGAGATCAAATACAACCATACTGAGTCAGTCTAGCTGAGAAAAACATTTGTCATTTTTAATGACTACAAAAGGACAGAGACACTTGAGAGATACTGTCTTAAGTAGCATATTTTGTGGCTTAGTTTGTTGTCTGAGACTCGCTGATCCATGAGACTTTAAATCCTTCATATTTGCGGAATTTAGTAAATTGCTTGTAAATTCTGTTCCAGCTGTTTTGCATCCTCCCTGGGCAGAGCTGCCTTTATACTGCAATTTACTACTGAACAATGTAAGAGTGATGTTTTACCAGAAGTGTTCTGATCACAGATTTACATCACATCCATGAAGGAGAATGAGATTGTAAACTGTTAACACACTGGCAGCAGCCTACAAATGCAGTAACCCATGAGAAACAGGACAGGGGCTCTGCTGAGCTCTGCTTGTGCTCATCAGTGGGTAGCCTGCCCTGTGGGCCAGGATGGTGCTGCTCTGGCCTTTCCTTGCAGGAACAACTCAGAGAGCAGTGCTGTGGTGTCAAAGGAGCCAAGGGAGCAGGAAGGAAACCACACAATTGCACAAGCGTCATTACTTACTTAACAGTAGAAATACAACATGATGTTCTGCAATTAAACAATTAATTACACAGAAACAATACTTCAATACTGAAGGCTGTTGAGTTGTCCTACTGGTACTGCCAATGTATTCTGAATCCCTTTGTGTTCCTGGAAGGCCTGATTCACCTTGAGACAGCAGTGGTATTTGAGCAGTATTGATGTTAGGTATGTGCATGTCACTGTAGAAAGCAACATCTGAGAGTTTCTCAAAGACTGTCTGAAAACAAATCCGGAACCTTTACAGGAGCATTACCTTAAGGTCTCTTGTTTAAGTCTGCCCAGCTCCAGGCTAAGCTGCTGCTGAGCCTCATGGGATACCACAGAACTGAGGGTGCTGACTCCTGATGTGGTGGTGGGATCCTCAGCCCTGTTTTGTTCAGTGGGCTGGAAACTGTCCTCTGCTTCATCTCCGTCTTTTTCCCCACCTTCAGTTTCTGACACTGGCTCAAAGTGAGCTCGAAGCTCTGGTAAAGAAAGCGGGTAAGAGAATTTCTTTGGACAGGTCTCTCTTCAGAGGTGTTGCAGCTTGTTCTTGGGGGAGCTTCAGCTGAGGAAGTAGACTATTTACACCTTGTGCTTTACTGTAATACTGAGCAGGGGAGTAGCAAAGCGTTATGCAAGCTGGACCACAGGTTCCCCAGCATCAATTCTAAAATGGGTGGCAATGTAGTAGCTTAGCTGCAGCATACCAGTAGAGGTAGGTAGCTGTAGATTACAGCTGTAGAGGGGACAAATACATTTGTGATTAAATGAATAAGAAGAAACTAAATGTGCTAATGAGAAACCCTTCAAAGCTTGCTTTCAAAGCATCATCATTCTCCTAATCTTCCTTTGGATCAAAACTGTTTACAAAGCCTTTCTCCAGGTAGCAATTCTAACCCCAGTTCTTTCAGCACGTGCTGCAGGTGGCCACCCTTCCCACCAAAGAATGACTGTCATTTTTTTTCTACAAGCAAAGTCCTAAAAATTTTTGCCTATTTGGCTTAAAAACAATAGCAACTTTGAATTGAAAGGGCTCACCCTCACTAAGTGCTCTCCAAACATTCCCATACTGGAAGGGGTACCCAGCACTTCAAGACTTAATTACAAAACTACTTGCAGATTTCCAACTCACACTTAGTCCTAGATACTTCTTCATCAGCTATCCTCTTCCTCCTCAGGTGGTGATGATTTTTCCTACTATTTATCTGAAGGCAAAGACTACATTCCTCCTTATATTAGTCCCCTCCCTTTACTGCATCTGTTCTACAGCTCAGTAATCAGTTTTCAGAATACGTAACCAAACCTGTGCAGTGTCACCCACCTTGGATGTCATTACAATCTTGTACAGAGTCATTTTCTTTCTTCCTTCAAAAGTTCCAGCTTGGACTGAATTTAATTTGCCCTCTTTGGTCACGGTCAGACCACACTGGTGATGCAGAACCACTAGTTATCTCCTCATTATGTGCTTTTGTACCCCAAGTACAGCATTAATCCTCCTGATCAACACTTATTTCTGTATGACATTCTGACCCTGTGCTTTTGATGTAGTAGCACATGGGATGCAGTTAATGGCATACTGACAGATTAAACATCTAAACTGTTACATTTGCTGCAACTCTTTGATATGCAAACAGCCATCTTTTTTGCTTTAAAGATTATTTTCAGCTGCTTTGATTTACCTGGAATAAGTATAGTGACTGCTGCTTGGACTGCACGGCGAATTATGTTATCCATTGCAAACATCCAGTGGGGCCTTATTAAGTGATTTCTTAATACTTTGTTCACCTATAAATAAATGAGTAAAAGTAGTGGCAAACAACATTTGCTTACACCTGAGGAAAGAGAATCATGTTTTCCAATAGCCACATGAAGTTTTATAATCTCAACTGCCTGAGTCACTAAAACCCTCCCCGCCTTTGAACGTTTAACTAACAGTTTTTGACAGTTTTAGGCTAGAGCTTTCAAACAGTGCACAGGCTGTGACGTTCAAGCCCCTTCACAGTAGAAGGAGGAAGAGGAGTGAAGAAGACTGGGGAAGCTGCAAACCCCTGGGTTGAGGTCTGTCCAGGAAGAGACTCTCTACCCCTGCAATGGGCATGGAACTCACAGCATCCTGAAATCCAAACAGCACCAGATGAATCTGATTGATGGAAGTGCTGTCAAAGTCCAAATCCATTTTCAGCTTGGATATGGTAGAAGCCATCACTCTCTGCTCAGGAGAGCGTATGAAGTCTCTTAAAATCCCAATAATTTGCTTGATGTGGGCCACTGAAAGTTGCAGTTCTTCAGAGCTCTGAAGAAAAGATAATGAACGTATATCATGGAAAACCCAGAGTCATTAAACATCCTTTTAGCAGCAATAGTAGTTCTAGGATTACAGTTTCTGGCTTTGCCTGTTTATGCCTCACACTGACATGCAGAAATTACAGAACCTTTGTTTCTGCAAAGCCTTT